TAGTAGTTGCAGTTGTAGTAATTGTGGTCGTGGTCGCGGTGGTAGGAGAAGAAGTGCTGCGAGTGGAAGTACTAGTACTAGCACTACTAGTAGCAACAAATGCAGTGGTAGTGGTAATAGTCGTAGTAGCAGTAGAGGTTTTCCGGCCTGACATTTGTTGTGGATTACTTACTGTTCAAGCTGATGAGTCTGGCAGTCTTGAAGTTGAGCTGTAGGGTGAGAGTTGCACAGGAAGCCGGAAAGGCCGAACCCGAAACCGAAACTCTGTGTGCACTGTCCACATTTGATTGAGAAGGTACCGCCAGAAACTGTGAAGCCATTAAACCTCGACTCTCAGGACCTCAACCTGGTGGGGTAATGGAGTTCTATTGCCGATGGGTCGGTTTAAACCCACAACCGCAGCAAACATCAATAGTCCGTGGGACCATAGAGGATTCAAGTTGCAAGGAATTTATTGAGGCTGGGAAATGTGCACTTGGAATGGTTATGGTACCTGACAGCCTACTCATAAATTCATTACGTCCTTCACTTCGAAATGAACCATTCAAAGGGGTTTGCTGATGAAGGCAAATTAAGTATGTCATTGCCTATCATGGCCATGAAAGGAAAGTATTATCGTAAACCCGAAAACCCGAATCACAAACCCGAAAGCTGCAAGGGAGTCTCGCAAACCCTAATTATTAAAGCACTTTTGCACCCTGAAATCCAATACTTAGGATGAAGTAAGCACGCCGACCACATGCCTCGAACTTGGATAGTGCCAGTGGGCCGCAGTAGTGCTTTGGCCTTCGTGGCCAGAGTTTAGGCGTTAGGGCTCGAGGGTTGTAAGGCTTTAAAGCATTGGGGCTGAGGTGTGCTAGGGTTTCGGGTTTACTTAGCCGACTACCCTTTCAACTTTAAAGTTTAGCTCTACCCTTAAACCCTAAACCCTAAATCGTTCCCCAGGTCCTATCCACAGGCAACGGGCCGATTGTCACAGAGAAAGCTTTCTATTTTACCTACGAGGTAGTAGTGGTAGTAGTAGTAGTCGTCGTAGTAGTAGTGTAATAGTACTAGTAGTAGTAGTAGTAGTAGTAGTAGTAGTAGTTGTTGTTGTTGTAGTAGTAGTAGTCACCCTTCTTCTCCGGTCCTCACAAACAAGGTGGGCTGTACAGGGTTAAGGGTTCAGGGGGTTGAGGCGGTTTAGAGGTTAGGGGTTCGGCGGTTTAGGGTTGTGTAGGGCTAGGAGGTTTAGGGTTCTATGAGGTTTAGGGTGCAGGGGGTTAGGGTATAGGGTTTTAGGATTTACTGTGGTCCTATAGGGTTCTATCGGGTTTACGGCTCAGGATTCTACAGGGTTTAGGGTTTACCGGCCACCGGGCTTCGAGAGCCTATCGGCCGACAAGGACTGATGGACATCAACATTGTGCGAGAAGAGCCGTCATGAAGCCCTAATACCACTACTACTACTACTACTACTACTACTACTACTACTACTACTACTACTACTACGACAGCTACTGCTACTACTACTACTACTACTACTACTACTAGTAGTACTACTACTACTACTACTACTACTACTACTACTACTACTACTACTACTACTACTACTACTAGCAGTACTACTAGTACTACTAGTGCTACTACTACTACTACTACTACGACTACTAGACTAGTACTACTACTACTACTACTACTACTACTACTACTACTACTACTACTACTACTACTACTACTGCTACTGCTTCTGCTACTAGGCTACTGCTACTGCTACTGCTACTGCTGGTACTACTACTACTACTACTACTACTACTACTACTACTACTACTACTACTACTACTACTACTACTACTACAATACAACTAATACTAGTTCTAGTATTAGTAGTAGTTATATTAGTGCTCGGACGTCTTCTCGGCCTCGGACATCTTCTCGACGATGAGCAGCGAGAGGGCCAAGGTGATGTAGCTTCAGCAGTGACGGTGCCAAGCTCATATTTTGAGCTGACCTATGGCCTACTTCGAGTCGCGACCAAGCGAAGCCAGCTTTGTCTTCGCGAACTCGAGGCCCGGCACATGGACTTCGCTGGCAAGAGCCTGGATTGGGCAACGGCTGTCGAGTCGTGCTGGTGTTGTGAGAAAGCACACAGCAAGCCTTCAGGCAGCCACCGTTTTGCAGATGCCGTCGTCCTCCTTGTAGCCACTGCCCGCCTGCTTGCTGCAGGTACTTCTGGTGGTCCTTTCGACCGGCAGGGAACTCCTTCGAGCCGCTGTGTCGCCAGGCGTCAGGTTCTCCACAACGCAAGCGGCTTCAAGCTTGGCTTCAAGAGGGTTTCATGGCTTCGGGATTGTAGGACGCAGGATGCAGTTTTGGGGTGTGGCTTGGTGAGGGCCCGGAAACCTTGTTCGGGCGCTTGGGCTCTGGGGTTGGAGGCCTTTCTGGCTGCTGTATCTCCTGCCACGGCGGGACAGAGCCAGAAAGAACCTGTTGGTGCCCCAATGAAAAGGCTGATGCAGTTTCCCAGTTCTGTAAAGAACAAGGAAACTGCTAATTTAGGGTTAGGGGTTTTACATTGATAATTTCAATAGAGGTCAAGGCCTAAGCCCCAATACTCAGAAAACAAGAAGCCTTAGCAAAAGCAAGAAAGCCCCAGCCAACCGTATCTACTGAAACTCGGACGTTGTAGACCAATGCCAATGGACGCCAGGGTGAATTAAGTCCCAGAGGTCCGCTCTCAGAGACCTGTGCACCCCGAAAAATACAGTCCTATAATTGAGCAGCATATTGGAGAAGGCTGGTTTGGCCTGACGGTAAACCAATAGTTTAAGGGTGCAGGGTTTAGGGGATGATGCCTGCTTGGCTCCCCGACCATAGCGGCCCTCTCGGGGCACCTGCAGAAGCAAAGGACTCGGCCGTATTTATTTGCATCTTTGCTATTGCTTAGGGGGAGGAGTGGTGACACGGCGAGTACAAGTGACAAGTTACACAACCACCATCACTGTTTCAAGGGCGTTCTTAAACTGATTAATCTTAGTGCAGATAGCAAATGGGGGAGTGTCGTGGCAAGCAGCAGCACATGACTAAAATGGTAGGGAGACCCTATGTGAGGAGTTACGGGGTTCGGGTCCTAGAACCATGATCCCACGGCCGCAGTGACTTAATAATAATTTGGGGTTCAGGGTATTCATATATTTGGTTATAGTTATCGCATTTAGAGCAGGCAGAGCACAACAGCAAGTCTCCGCCGCGATGACGAGGAGAAGGTCTGTTGGTGCGACCGTGGGCACTGGCGGCACTGGCAGGGCGCCAACTCGGATGCGATTCCCAAGCACCGGAGTACCTTGCCCGGGCTCATCCACGACCGCCGTTTTTTCCTCTCGAGCGACGCCAACACCTGGCTGGACTCTCGAGGGAGGCGATCGGACTGGCACTCCTTGCAAAGGACTTTCGGCCAGTGGATCGTGCCGCGACGCGACTTCGGGTTGAAAGAAGTCCTTCCGGCAAGCGGCGAGGTGGAGGTGCATGACAGCCACGTGTCGAAGCTGAGTCCAGGACATGCTGCACAAGGGCAAGCCATGTTCGTCCCAATGCCACGACGTGTCCAAGTAAAGTTAAACCCGCCGGGGAGGAAGCCACTTATCAGACCAATTGGCTGCTTAGGGTGATTCTCGGGCAACAGGTATATACAGATCGAATCAGACTCAACGTCTAGTAATTTGCGCTTCAGGGTTTAGGACTAGACTATAATTTGGGTTGACACCTTAGGCTTCATGTTGTTTTGGGGTTCAGGGTTGAGGGTTTGGTGATGTCGTTCCGATGCGGTTTGACACGCGGACAGTAATTAAGCAAGGTTTCAATTATTTAGGGTGTTTGATGGTTGTTGAGGACACTCGGACAGCAATTTGCAAGTTTTCAATGTTTAGGGTGTTTGAGGGTTCAGGACCCCACTCAGGCTTCTACAGGCAGGTGTATCCAAGGGCTAGGGCACATCGGATCAAAGTTCCTTGCAAGGAGGCAAGACGGGTTAGTGAGGTTCATTTAATTTAAGGGTCTCCGAATCCGACGTCCAATGCATTTATTCCGAAGCAGCAGGAGATCCGTGGGTTGGGACTAAACCCTACTAAGAAGCCCTCAAACCCCGAGCCTACCCGTGGGTTGGGACTAAACCCTACTCAGAAGCCCTGAAACCCCAAGCCTAAACCCCAATCCGTAAAACCTATTAATCCTAAGCAAGCAATCGAAATCTAAGCATGATTCAGTATGGTGTGCTAGTGCTGCTTCAGGCTTTGGGCTCGGGTCTGGGGCCTTACCAATCTGCAGGCGAACTTGGGAGAGAGTTCTTTTCAGGTCTGCTTTGACCTGCTTCTGCAGAACCAGCATTTGAAATGAAACCGCTAATTTGCAGACTAAGCCTTGGAATCCTACATCCCTAGATCCAGGACCGTTTTGTTAGTAAGGATCGGAACTTAGGGTTTTCAAGACTCGGAATTATTATGGGTTTAGGGCCAAAGTTTAGGGGATTTAGGGATCCCCGGTAAGACCTGTGAGACCCAATCAACCTGAATGTCAACTGGGCTCGGACCACAAAGGCGGAGAAGGAGGCAGCAAAGGCAGCCTGCAGCAAGAAGGAATGCTGGCCGAATGTTGACCCTTGTCGGTGGGGAAAATGTCTTTCATGATTAATTCAGCATGGTGTCTTTCATTAATTATTAATTCAGTATGGTGTAAGATGGGTGTCTTGCGGTTTTGCTCCGCAGCAGTTCATGAGGGAGGAGCTTGTGGCAGGAGAGGTCGGGAATTGCAATGGTAAACACTTTATTATTTCATTATTGGATGAGGAATTACCGGAGAATTTCCATACCGGAGAGCTCCACAGGTATGACCCTAGTTTTCAGTTCGTTTTCTGAGGGGAAAGTTATATATGGCACCGAGAACTGACCGCGACGCATTTTTTTTTCCTTTTGTTTTTTTGGCAGCATCTCTGGGGCCGCAAATTGTCGTGTGTTCCCAGGTCACTGCTATTCCATGGTCTCGGGCAGACTGATGCCGCTGGAATTGAGTGGCGGCTGCTCGGTCGAGGCTGCTCCGGCTGCTCGGTCGAGGCTGCTCCTGCTGCTCGGGCATGCTGAGTTCAAGCTCTCAAGAAACTGAAATCCCAAGGGCAAGTCTCGGCCGGGTGGAGAAATAGGTATTTCTCCCAGGCAGCCGTCAGCATGCGGTGCAGAGCATAGCCGTCACCCTGGTCGCCCCAGGACCGGGACGTGGACACTCCGTTTCTATCCTCGGCACGCCAGCATTTGTTGAACTCATCACGTCTTGAGGTATGCTGCGGCGGCAACCAACCATTGACGTGTTCCTCCGAGTAAAGTTGTTTCGACTCGAACCTCACAGGCTTCCGCTTGACGTCCTTTTTTTTTTTTTGTCCTTCTTGACTGCAGCAGTCCGGGTTTGCCGGATCTTTGCTGACACGGACATGGCCTTGCGATGCTTTGTTTTGGACTCGGACAAGACTTCCTTGATTTGCTTGTCAGTTTCGGCCGTCAGGAGCTCCTGAAACTCGGGCGACTGCAGGATTTCATTCAAATCTGCATCATCGGCTTGTCGATACTTCAGGGACCTTTCCATGATGTCTGCTGCCTGGTCCTCGGACACAGACAGAGTCTTTTGAACGGCCGTGGAAAGCATCTCACCCAAGGCAGTTTCGGCATTGGAAAAATCGAGGTCTCCCATGCCACACTCTTCCTTGAGAATGAAAGACAGTCGTGTTTCGTCCATGTCGAAGAAAGCATGCTCCGCACAGTACTGAAGGATAGGTTTCCGGGCTTCGCCTGTCACCGTGAGGAGGGGTGCGGTTGTCGGAGTGCCGCCGTTTCGAATGGCATGGTGCAAAGGGCTCTTAACGGTCGTGGGCAACGCAAACCAATCGGAGAGTCGAAAGACCTGAACAAACTTCAGCTTGTCTTTTGTGAGTGGAAGGTCCAAGTTGAAGCCGCCCTGGCAGGTTTTCAAGGGCAGCAGAAGTGCACCGGAATGCGATGGCCAGGCGCCCATGGATAGATATCTGTCGGACTCGGGAAAAGAGGTGTGGCCAACTACGGTGCCTCTTCTTAACATCCCGCTCCGCCAGGAGTCGCTAAGCTGAGCCACTCGGTCCTGATCCATGGCATCCTTCAGGACGGCCAACTCGCAGGCCACAGCACAAAGACCAATTTGGCTGAGGGAGGTCCACTTCATTGGTGCAGTTATTGCTTTCAATTTCTCGGGCACCTTGTTTTTCTCCAGACGGAAGAGAGACTCGGGAATGCTGCCTTCGGCCTCGGTCGGCTCGGTTTGGATTTCCCGAAATCCAAAGGAGGTGAGCGTCCGACTGTAAGCTGTAAGAGCAACACTCCCAAGCCTCCGTGGAGCTCAGCTCGTGGCCCTTGTTCTCCTTGCCCTCCAACTCTCGGGCGTCGCCAAACGCTTCCTCGTTCCAGGTGGCCCCCAAACCTCGGAAGAGCGGCTGCAGCCAATTCAGCAAACGTTTCGTGATGCGCCACTCGGACGAATGCAAGTTCGCGACGACGTCCCGCATAAGCCTGGACCCCATCGGCGATCGCTTTGCAAACACCCGGAGCCATTTCAGCTTCTCGCTGTTGGCCATGGCTCGGGCGTGTGCCTGCTCGGACAGGTACAGATTCACGAGTGTAACGTTCTGCTCTTCTTCGGTTCCGAAGGCAAGGAGGACGAGCTGGGAGGGCCAAGAAAACATGGTAACCGAGGCATACTGCATCTTGACGTGAGCCAATTCCAAAGCAGTTTCCAGCACCATCTGGCATGTCTTGTTCTGGAATTTGACGATAGGGTCCTCGACCGTCATTCGGCCGATCATCCCTGCACCGAGGCGGGCACCGTGCCAAATAGCCAGGTCTTCTCGGACGTCGGGACACACTGCAGTCTCGAAGATGGTCGTGAGGACTTCCAAGCTAGAGCCGCGGGCCTCTTCTAGGAGATGCTGTTCACAACCATCTCGACCTCTCTTCAGGGTGGTCCTGAGGCGATGCAGCTCCTGAGAGATCGGCCAACTCAAGTGAAACCAACAGTTGAGCTTGTCACACGTGTCTTTCTGCAACAAGATGTTGGTGACCACATGAAGCTTGTTGACGCACTTCTGGAACAGGCGCTGCTTGGCATCAGAGCCCAATGTGTTGTCTCCGTCGCCCTCGGACAAGACCTGGCCGGCCCATTCTTCGGTAGCTCGGTTGGCGGCGGCATTGGTCGCCGGCTGGAGATAGCCGGCTTTGAGGCCATAGGACAGGCACAGTAGCTTCAGGAGGCCCAGCTCGGACTTTCTCTCGGACCAACCCACAGCAAATGCATCCCACCTGCTCATGTTGCTGGGCCCACGCTTCCTCAAGAAGCCGCTGTGTTGCAAGAGATCCTTGCATTTCTCGGGTGTGACTTCCTCGACATGCAAGCCAGCCTGGAGTGCAATCTCCTCCCGGAGATGCTGAAAGAGAAAGCCGCCTCTCTCTCGCACGTCTGGCGGTGCAGCAGACAGTGTTGCAGCGAAGTCTACCATCTCCTCCTGCAGACGGCGGAACCATTTGTGCGAGCTCCACGGGCCCCGACTAAAGTTGATAACTAGCTCGCCTAGGGACAGGGCGCCTTTCAGCTTTGCATGGCTCACAGCATTTTCCAACTCTCGGGCGAGTCGGTGTCTTGGATCCCAAAAGTGGATCATGCGGACTCGGACGTGGTTCTGCAAGAACTGTAAGCAGCTCATTACGTCCGGCCCAGCGTCCGCATTGAAACACAGCACGGGCATCTCCAGGCGACCTTCCGGGTCTGGGGCTGTGAACTCCAGCAGGCTTGCTGCACTCGGACACATGCTCTGCAACGTCTGCTCCAGCGCCACCACCTGCTCGAAAGAAGGCAACCGCTGCTTCTTCTCGACCACAGGCGCCACAGCCTCGGACGACAGAGCATTGTCTCGGGCACGCAAGCTCAGCAGATACCCTCGGGTCTTGGAGTCCAGCCTCCCCTGCTCCTCGGGAGTGGGCTCGGACGTGACAGCCCTGTACCCAGAATCCCTCAGAATCAGCGGTGGCCCCCATGCTGCCAACCCAGTGTGGCTGTCCAGGATCGCATAGTACGACCTCTTCTTGCCTCCGACTCGGGACGCATCGAAGGCAATGTGCAACGTCTTCGCCGATCCAAGCACCCGCCTGCAGGACATCCAATACTGGAACCGTTCTCGGACGCGCTGCCTGGCCTTCACCATCGACCGAGCTCGGACCTTCTGCACCTTCAGGTTGGTCTTGGCTCGGGCGGACAGCTTGGCATCGGCGGGGCCTCGGACGACGCGGGCTGCTCGCACTCTGGCCATTCGGACGGCAGGATCACGCATGTCTGGCTTGTCGCTGCTGTCGAAAATGGAGTCCTGGCAGGGATCCTCCCCGAAGTCGGAGGCCAGAACACCAGCATCCACTGCCCCGGACAAGCCTTTCAAGACGTCTGCTCGAAGCCACCGCAGGGCCTTCGTCCTCCAGAGTTGCTTGAGCACCTCGTGCACGGGCTGGGTCTTCCTGGACTTCATGGGCACAGTCTTCTTGGAGCCCCGCATCCGCTCTTTGTAGCAGGTCCTCTCGGTCAACTCGGACAATGTGACATTGCCGTGTCGGATGACCAGAGAAGCTGCCTCGGACGCGACCCGAACCCTCCACTTCTCCGGCAACAACCTCTGAAGGAACAGGGGGAGCAATGTCGTGGTCTCATCAGAGTAGACGTACAACATATGCAGCAGAAAGCAGAGAAACAACGTGCTGACGAACAGATCATGAGCCGTGTCCTCCGTTTCGCCTTGTCCCGTCTCCTTGCAGTGAGGCGGCCAGAGCACGTGCCCTCTCCCGCTTTCCAGCTGGAGCTCGGACACAAAGGCTGGCAGCCAGAACCGTCGCAGCTTGCCCATAATCGTCTGTCGTGGCTTTCGGATAAAGGAAGTAAGCCGCCAGAAATGCCTACAGGGTCCTCGGGCTTGCAGAATGGAGACTGGTTTCTCCGTTTGGAGTGCGGTTGACAAATCAGTCTGCAACAGTCTTCTTCCAAGGAGGAAGCTTTTCAGCCATTGCGACTGGGTTCCTGTCTCTGTGCGGGTAATAACGAAAGGCTCCGTCTCCGACGAGCCCTCGGACGTGTCGCCCTCGCTGGAAGCACGTCTAAAAAGGTGATACTTCAAGAGCTTCGACAGCCACGTACTCTCCCCTGCCACTCGGACGAACGCGAAACCGGCAGCATTGAATTTCAATGTGACCTCGCCACGCAGCAACAATGTTTCCTTGGTCATATGATGCTCCAGAATCGTGATGTCGTTCCAAGTGGCAATGATTTTCAGGTGGCCCTCGTGCGGCTCTTGTTTGCAAGCGGCGAGTGCATTGGGATCATTTGGAGCCGGTTCGGCAGTCATGATGATTCTTACTTGTAGTGGACGAAAAAAGCAAAAAAAAAAAGGAATTGGGACAAGCAGGGATTGATTGACCTGCAATGCATTTGTCGGGTGGCAATACTAAATAATAGTAGTAATAGTAGTAAATAATTATAAGAAGAAGAAGTACTAAGGATACATAATAACGTGACAACAGTACAGTACTGATAATATTAATTAGTGACTGGGATTTCGTGCAGAGCGAGAGTTTTGAAGAGTTGTCGACGACCCCATACAGAGAGCTGTGGCCCTTTGAAACTTTGAGACTGTAACGGCAGCACGGATGTAGATGATGATTCATGATTATTGTTAATTCTGTATTTATTCTGACCCCATAGTCAAAGCAAGCCCCTGTGAGTTTGTAGGAAGACAGCCTAGTCTCGTTCAGCAAGTGTGGACATAGTTGTATATAATAACTAGTTGGGGTACAGAGGCAGCAGGTTACCCTGACATGTGCAGTTACCGTTGCGAGGAGAGGACTGCCAGGACCAAATAAACTCGCATGGCAGATTCTCAGAATTCAATCCGGAACAAAGGAAAGACTTCTTGACCCCGTGTGCCTGAAGTCGGCATCGAAGTTGTCCGATGGCAAGAACGCCCAGGCAGCAGGTACCTCGCAAGGATGGGACAGCATGGGTCGCGCAGGTCTGGAATTGAATTCAGGTGCAAGGCCAAACTCTTGTAACTTTTTGTCCAGCCAGGGTGTGTTGCTCGTGTCTTCGCAACGTCACTGACTGATGGCATGGAGGCTATGGAACCAAAATACGAAGCTACTCCAGAGCGGCCCACCGGTCTGGCCGGCTTCGTCGGGAGGGAACTCTTTCTTCTACAGCCCCACTGTCAGAAAGTTGGAACACCCAGATGCCTCCTCGGACGCATCAGATTTGAAAAGTGCCGTCGCCGTTCTCGGGAGGCTCGCCCTCGTTCTCCTCGAGTTCGGGGATCTCCTCATCTGCCTCGTCGTTCTCGCCCTTGTTGGAGGACTTGGGAGTGCTCGGACGCGACTTTGCCTTCGGCCCCGGCCCGGCACCATTGCTTCCGGGCGAGAACAGCCGCCTCCGAGGCGTCTTGGGTGAGCCTGGGGACTCGGAAGTTTGAAGCCGCTTTCTCTTCCGAGACTGGGGCGTCTTGTTCGCTGTGGGACCCGGCTGCTGGCTTTTCTCGGACGCCTCGTTTGGAGTGGTGATCTTCTTCTTGGTAGGAGTCTCGGGGCCGCCGTCACACTCCTTCAGCACGAGGGGCCGACTCACCGCGAAGCGGTCTTGAATCTTCATCTCCTCCAGCAGCTGGCCCACAGCTCGGACGCACACTCCCCGCTTGATTGTGCATTTGGCCCACAGGAAGGGATCGGCCAAGACGGGGTCACCTCCTGCACAGAGCTCGGCCGGAAGCTTGACCTTGGTCTTGGCTCGGGCGGCGGATGTGACCAAGGTGTTGTCGACGAGGTTGAACTGCCCATCCGCGATCTTCTCGAGGCTCCAGTAGCTGTGCTCCGCCCAGAAGTCCTGTGTCTCAGTGACTGAGTTACGTACTAATACTAATTATTCTTGCTAAGTATTAATTAATTAATTAATTAATTAGGGGGATTCCACTCCCAGTTTCACACAACTTGTACCGCTCCAGTCCTTCAACGTCTTCTGCTCGGACACTCGGAAGGTGGACCCTCGGGCGCCGAGTAACTCGTACCGCTCCTTGAGCTTCCTCGTCAGTCGCCCAAGGCTCTTGCACGGCAGAGCACTCGCAGGGTCCATCCCACAGAGGTATCCCAGCACGCTGGCCACATCCAGCCTCGACAAGGACTTCTGCCTCCCGCCGTCCTCGGGCGCCGGCTGCACCGTTGTCGTGCTCAGCCACTCGGACAGGCCGCTGTTGAGCTCGGACAGTATGACCAGACTGACCTCCTTGCTCAACAGCTTCACCTTGTTCATGTGGCCCGGCAGCTTGGTCTCGGACGGCTCGGGCTCGTTGTTGAAGTCCATGTGCCCGGC